CTCTCTCTCTCTCTCTCTCTCTCTCTCTCTCTCTCTCTCTCTCTCTCTCTCTCTCTCTCTCTCTCTCTCAGGACATTGCGTCACTTCAGGAGTGCGGGTTCCGAGAAGACAAAGATACAGATGATAATTGGTGCGTTTCACGGAATGGTAGCGAACAACTATGATGTTGTAGACTTGACCGCGGTAATGAAGTTGTTTTGTAGGGAACTCCGACACATGGACTACCCATGGAGGATAACCCGCACGGCGATTTTGGCATTCATCAGAAATTGCAAAGACACTTAAGTAAGGAGGAAATTCCTAGATTGTCTGGAAGCAGAAGAAACACCAATCGAAAAATGATATAAAATCGGAGAAAAAGAAAGAAAAACAATAAAAGAGAAAAGCAAAAAAGAAAAGAAACGCGCAAACCTAAAAAGCACATAAAAAGATCGGCGACATGCAGATATAATGACGCAAAAATGGCCGTATTGATTTCCCAACATACGCAATGAAATGAATCGAACCAGAGTAAGCATATAAATAACAGGCAGCGGGAAGATGAAAGTACTCACCTGGGAGATGATGATGAAACCCATGACCACGCCAAAGACAAAGAAGCATACAAAGCCAGAAGAAAACCAAGAGACATCTCAAATATAAACAAAATTTGCAACATTAGTTTTCGACAGAAATAAGGTCGAAAGAGAAATAGACTGAATGAGTACGGAATTCTGGCAAAAAAGAGGAATAGACACTACCACAGGAACGTACGCAGGAGGACGATGTTATATGCAGCAAATCAACGACCACGGGAAACCAACGACGACAAGGGAAGTATAGAGCGTGACTACGGAAAACTCAAAGGCAACGATGATGAGGACACTGCAGGGATTGAGGACAAGCGGGTGGGAAGGATAAGGATGATAGGGTATAAATTCAGGGACGGTGGCTGAAAGGATTACCTTAGCAGTGAGGCAGAAGGGTAATCGCGACAGTTGTCGCATGCCATGGACAGGACGTGTATACTGCGAAAGTAAAACCTCGCACGTGTTGTCTATTGTTGCAAGTGTGTATCTCAAGGCACAGTGCTTCGAACTTGCGGGCGGTACCTGTGATGATCGGCACGGGATCTAGGTGATAATCTGCGTATCTGTTCTATCTGCTTCTCTATCGTCTCGTCTTTCTTTCTAGTATCATCTCTCTTACTCAAGTACACGGAACATAGCTCACTCATTAGTGCATGCACTTCGGGTAGCGTACTCGGCCTTTTTTCATTTCGGCAAGGAGATTGTTGTTTAGCGTGGACATTCTATTCGCGGTTTTGGAGATTGCTTCAAATTAGCGATTTGGAGATTGTTCGAGGTGCATCATTCGGCTTTCTGTTATCATCATTAATTGACAAAGTCGAGGGTACCCGAAGATCCGAATACTTCAGGGAAGATGGCGCGATCGCGCTCATCGTCGCACAGAAGGAGGCACAGGCACTCGTCATCATCCTCTGGATCGCACGGAAGGAAACGCTCAAGACGAGGGAGATCCAGAACTCCGAGAGATAGACCTCATAGATCAAGATCTCCATCATCCAGGAGGAGAAAGGCAGAATCGGAGTCCCCTAAGCAATAGAGCAACTCACCATGAAGGCAACAGACAAGAAATCTATGCAACAGGAGAAGAATGGGGGAAGCACGAAGAGATCGGAGGTAGCACCTGAAGAACCAAAAGCGAAGGAACCGGTCACCGCATCTGAACTCAAATCAATTATTGACAAAGCACTGAGACCAGATCTGCAAAGTGTGAAGCAGGGGGGGACAGTTCAAGCGCCAAACACGCAAGCACTTACTAGCGGAGCAGGACAGAAGGCAGCTGAAGACGAAGGTAAAGTGGAGAAATTGGTCTCAGAGGTGCGGAGAGACGTGAACCACCTCAAGTTCCTCAAGTACGATTTCGCGGCAGTGAAAGGAGCATTGCAGAAGATAAATGAGCCAACAAGAACCTGCACACCAATAACATCATCATCCGTCCACCTGAACCAGTATCCCGGAGTAATGACTGGACTACCGGCTTCAATACACATCAGTCGCAGCGGTCCAAGCCACAGTTTACCAAGTCGAAGCATTCCAAGTCGGAGTAGACTGAGCCGACCATTTCCTCCACATCCCAAGATAGGACGAACGAAGACACAACGACAAACAAGGACAATCAGGTTGAAGGCGAGGCGAAGCATCAACTTCGGCGTCGAACCGATAACAGACACGCAACTCCTTCACCTGCATTACACGGATCTGCAGGATCTGTGCAAGATGCACAATATCAAGTACAAGGATAAGCCTCAAGCTATATGGCAGCTGCGCAGAGTGCCAGGTCTGATCGCATACAACGGACGTGATTTCAATTGCGACTCAGACCTCGAGACACAGATCAATCCAGATCCTAACAATATCAGGATCGGGTCATCCAGCGACAGAAAGACAAAGGAAGAGGAGTTGAGTTTGGAATCAAGTGAGGAAGATGATAACTCACAAGACACGTCTTCAAGCACTGAAGACCTATTGGGAAGGTAAGCAGGCCACCGCCGGCGCGTGACCTCACCACGACACAGAAATGGGAACACATTCAAAGACTAAGATAAGTACATGTCATTCGCACAATAGACGATACAGACTTTCATTTATCTCACTAGCACTAGATGGAAGAATTCCATGGGCAGGGCCTTTAGTAGACCTATGGACTGCTCAGTATCAATAAGTCGACTCGTTGCTAACAACCAGCTATAGCGTATACGTTCTCATTTCGCTATGGTGTAGACACATGTACGTTGGGAAGATAGGAAGGACACCGGATAAGAGATCGTGCGAACACGTGAACTTAGCTAGGAACCCGAATAGGCGGGCACAGCGGAAGTTATACAGTTGGCTACGAAAATTTGGTTGGGAAAAGTACATTCTGATACCAGTATGGACAGAAGTAAAATCAGAGGTGACAAAAATGGAGACGACACTAATTAAGAGACTGAACCCATTCTTGAACACAAGAGGAAAACGAAAAAAGACTCAGAAGAACAAGCGAAGAAAGAGAGGGAAGAAACACAGGATACAGAGTGTAGATCAGAATATATCGATCTTGATTAAATCTGTGCGATCTCGATACACCACAAAATTAACGCAATTGTTAGGAAAAGTACATTCTGATACCAGTATGGACAGAAGTAAAATCAGAGGTGACAAAAATGGAGACGACACTAATTAAGAGACTGAACCCATTCTTGAACACAAGAGGAAAACGAAAAAAGACTCAGAAGAACAAGCGAAGAAAGAGAGGGAAGAAACACAGGATACAGAGTGTAGATCAGAATATATCGATNAACACAAGAGGAAAACGAAAAAAGACTCAGAAGAACAAGCGAAGAAAGAGAGGGAAGAAACACAGGATACAGAGTGTAGATCAGAATATATCGATATTGTTTAAATCTGTGCGATCTCGATACACCACAAAATTAACGCAATTGTTACAGCCAAAAGTGATAATCCACTGCACGACAGGAAAACTGTGGAATGAGAAATGAAAAGTAATCAAACGAACATTTGGATCCTCAACCATTGAGATTAACGACACTAAATTCCAACTGAAAGACTGCAGAAAAAAATTTGAACAAGGTTATACGTTATATGTAATTCAGCTAGTGCACACAGGACCCATAACAAACAAACATAGGAATATTTTGATCAACTGTCTCCGGGCACCATGGAGAAGGAAGGATTTATATAAATTAACGTTGGATGATATTTTAATTCTGTTATCGAAAGTGGGGTCAATAACAGGAAACAAACAACTAGGTACAATTAAAGGGATATTCACACGAATTTCGAAGAAAAAAATTGCATTCAATATAATTAAGAAAAGAATCCTATTCAGAATTCCTTTTGCAACAGAGATTAATCTTAAACAAGTCAGAAATCCCACAACAGATACAATTCTTGAAAATGTGCAGAATAAAAATTTAGTATTCCGCATGAGAGTGATGTTTAAAAAATCGAGGACTGTTGGCGAGGTCTTGCACAATCACAGGCAAGTGATAGAAAAACTAGCAAAAAAGACGTGCCAAGGATGTGGACTGGGAAAAATTGCCGAATGGGATGAGAAAGGAACATACGAAAACGCTTATACAATTCCAAAGAACAAAGACGTAACAAGATGAAGGTCAATTGTACCAACATATAACGAACCTTCACGAAAAACATCAAAAATCATGTCGAAAGCGATAAACTTTATGTGTAAAACATGGAAAGTCGACTTCTCATTGTAAGGAACGAATCAACTTGTTCCAAAATTACGAGAATGTAACAAAACAGCAGAGGAAATGTACGGACGGAACGCGAAATTGATATGCGCCGCGTATGGCGTTAAGGACATGCTTTCTAATCTAGATCATACACATGTTCTTAACGCCATGCAATGGATGCTAGAGATGGCAAGAGAAAAACGGAAAACGCACTTGTGCTATAAACAAAGAGGAAAATACATCAATTTCGGCAAAGCAAATGGAACATATGAATGGAAAACGATTCGAATTGACAATCTGATGGATCTACTATATTATGACATTAAACATGCCTACTTCAAAGTACAGGGAATACTGCTTCGACAAATCAAAGGTGTACCTATGGGAAAGGGTTCCAGCCCATCTATAACAAACAGAGTGCGCATTTGATGAACACAGATGGTGTTTTAAAATTAGACTCGAGAGGAAACTCATTCACAGAGTGCAATTTGTAGACGACGTAATGATAATAATAATAGAAGATAAAGAAGATCAAGAAAAAAAATTGAGATGCATGGAATCGTTCCAAACATGTTATCACCATTTACTGAAGTTGGAATCAACATCAGAGAAGGAAAGTACAAAATGAACTTATCTCAAAATAACGATATCAAGGATTGATCACGAACCCCTTCTAAAGTGTACACATAAACTGAAGAACGAAGCGACACTCCAGGAGGGGTTGTTGAGCTCTCTCTCTCTCCGGACATTGCGTCACTTCAAGAGTGCGGGTTCCGAGAAAACAAATATACTGACGATAATTGGCACGTTTCACATAATGGTAGCGAACACCTATGATGTCGCAGACTTGACCGCGGTAATGAAGTTGTTTTGTAGGGAACTCCGACACATGGACTACCCATGGAGGATAACCCGCACGACGATTTTGGCATTCATCAGAAATTGCAAAGACACTTAAGTAAGGAGGAAATTCCGAGATTGTCTGGAAGCAGAATAAACACCAATCGAAAAATGATATTAAAAAAAACATTAAAAAAAAAAAAAAAA